ACTAAATGCTGTTTTCATCCCTATAGGGCCTTTTTTTGTTGACTCCCAAACCCCTTCCGCTGCTTTTTTCCAGAATCCTAAACCACTAAGTTAATCCTAAATCTTGTTTTAGAGCTTATTGGGAACCCCAAACCCTAAACCCTAAGCCACTACACTTTAAAGGAACTAAACCCAGGGTTTGGAGCCAGGCTTGCCCAGAGCGCAGGGAGGCTGTCCTCGCTCATGTGGGCGCACTGGTGCGGCCAGTCCGAGGTGGAGGGCTTTGCAAGGGTCCTTCCCAGAGAACCTAATACCCTTTGTTTAAGGGTTTAGGGGTTTGGGGTTTAGGGGTTTATGGGTTTATGGTTTCTAGTACCCAGAGAATCCAATATCCCTTAATGAAGGAGTATACCTTTAAATCATAATATTAAGGCCCTTATAATCTAAGGCATATTCCTTAATTAGGGTATATTGGGTTCTCTGGGTTCCTCAACCCTAAACCCTAAACCGTCGCTCTGGTTATCTTCCCAGAGCTTCAAAACAGGATTCGTTTCAGTCTCAGGGTATGGCTGGTGCGACAAAGGTCGGGCAGTGCAACGGATGTGTCTTCTTGTCCATGTCACAAGTCCATCCTGTTGAAATGCTTGGACTTAGGGTTAAGGGTTTCAGGGCCGGCTGGCGAACAGAGTCCTGGATGCAAAAGGGTTGGTGATACTCTTAGGGTGTACAGTTTTCGGATTGCAACACCTGAACTGACATAGAAATGCGTTTGGGATTACAATGCACGGTTAGACTATAAGCATAGCAAAGGAGGAGTGTTACTACCTCATATATACCTCTGCAATGTTCAGCCCTCTGGCCCTAGGAAGCAACCCCTAGAGTGTAGGGGCTGGACTTGAGTTTCTGGGTGCCTGCCATCCCAAACCCTGCAAGCTCCAAGCCGTGAGGGCTTAGACTTTAAATTCAGGGTTTGAGGGTTTGTGTCGGCCCTAAACCCTAAATCATAAACCCTAAACCATAAACCCTAAACCGTGAACCCCAAGCCCCAAACCCCAAACCCTAAACCGTAAACCCCTTGCCCAACCCCATGAGGTGGTCTTGAAGCTGACTTCAAGGGGGAGCAGCTCCCCGTCTGCAACCTCGCGGAATCATGCTTCCGGATTGCTACGACGACGACTACTACGATGATACTACTGAGCCCTAAACCCTCGTGGCAAGTTCAGGGGACTTCGTAAGGAGGGCTGTAGCACGGCAACTTTACTTATAGCTCCAATAAACAGTTGAGGTATTTGTAGCTCTACTTCCTTACTAGGCCCCCTGATCTGTTATTAATTTAAACTAAGTAGTTCTGCAAAGGCCTCAAACCCGAAACCCCCAAACCCCAAAACATCCCTCAACCTTAAACCATGAATCTGAAACTTCAAGGTGGTCCAAGCCCACCATTTCGGAGTTGTTGCTGGATTTAGGTTCCAGGCTGCAGGGTTTGATCTGCGCTTGGGGCCTTCAGGTTTAGGGTTTGGGAAGTTTAGGGTTTAGGCGTTAGGTTTTAGCGTGTAGGTCCCTTGCCACCTACATCCTCTCTTTGGAAGGTCTGTGGAGGGAGGAGGCAGTTCGAATTGACAGCACGGCTTGAATTTGCAAGCCTTTTAACCCTAAACCCTAAACACCCCCTAAGCCCCTCTTTGACGTTGATGATTCGCAAGCTAGCTGATGCAGCGCGCCCGAAGCTTCCAAGCCCTGGACTCCTGACTCCGCACATGGGTAGTTCTCCAAAAAAGGTCCCTTTGTAGGTCCCCAGTATAGTACGGCACCCTTATAATAAGTACCCAAAAAAACACTATGCACATCACGACCTGAACTGTAACTCCAACCTCGACTTGAGCCCCGAGGTGAACCGATTCTGCAAATCCCTACACCCCCAAAACCCCTAGCCCTAAACCCTAAACCTCCAAAGCCCCAAGCGTTTTTTTGCCCTACCAAAACCGCGAAGTTCCAAAACCCTGAACGCCTATACCCTCGCGAAACAACATCTCTACATTTCCCACACCGTAAAATCCTCGAATCTAGAGCCGCCCCACATTCTCCATGGCGTAGGCAACTCCGATCAGGCCCCTACACTAGAAACCATGTAGCAACCCTTGAAGGAATCTCTGACGGAAAAGGAAACTTCGACCAAAAACCCCACTCGTCATCCTAAATTATTCAGTGTCCTCTAAACCCTAAACCCCTAAACCCTAAACCCCAAAACCCTAACCCCCAAAACCCGAAACCCTAAACGGCCCTAAACCCCAAAACCCTAAACCCTAAACAGCCCTAAAACCCTAGAGCACCCCAGGCTTAAGCAACGCCGATCTCGAGGGATTGCAGCTCCTCCGTGCAGCCGGCGCGGAGCTGAGCGACGGGGCGGAGGCGGGGCGGGCAAAGGAGGGTTTAGGGAGGGTTTAGGGTTTGGGGTGTTTGGGTTTTTGGGGCTTAGGGGTTTTTAGGGCTTAGGGAGTTTAGGGTTTTAGGGTTTTATTTGGTGTGAAATCACGCAGTGCTGCTTCCCAGCATTTCCCAGCTGATCAGCAGAGTCTGGGTTCAAAAAAGGGTTTTATTTGGGGGGTCTAAAGCTGCGAGCTATGCCCTAAACCCTAAATACGGAGTGTGCTAAATTGTTTTCTAAAACTCGCGTTTCAGGGTTCGATCGCCAGCTGGAGAGGTGTCTCAAAATTGGAGCTGTGGCCTGGGAGAGTTGCGAGAAGTTTCATACCATTAAGGTCTTCCCTAAACCCTAAACCCTTAAACCCTAAACCCTAAACTTTATAACGGTTTAGTGTTTAGGCTCTCTGGGCATCTTAAAATCAGAGTTTGGTTGTGTTTTGCGGGGTTTATTAACGCCCTAAGCCCTAAACCCTGCACCTGAAGGTACCTACAGGAAGTCTATCTAGTATGTCATGTTTTCTTGAAAAATACGAGTTGAGGCTTCACCCTAAGCCCTAAACCGACTAGGAGTTGAGGGCTCGGTATTGGGAGCCCTCAATTGCCGATGGTGGCTCAGTCGTTGAGGGTTGCGGATCAGAGCTTTGGGGTTTATGTGTGAGATACCTACTATAATCAGTATTCGGGCATTAATTAAGGAACGGGCCCTTTACAAAACTTTCGAATCCCCGAATCCTAAACTTCCCTGAACAGCCCAGAGCCTGCCACAAATCCACACTCTGAAGCTGTCCCGGGTGTCTAGGGCTTTGAGGCTTAGGGTTTAGACGGCTCTGGGGTTTCTGCCATCAGGGTTCTATCAGCTTCCTATGATGAGGGTTAGTTCGATAGAAGAGTTCTATGTGAGATGTAGGGTTTTGAGGTTTCGGGAATCAGACCTATCGTCGCCAGAAAAGCCCTTAAACTTCAGCAAGGACCTGTGAGTGACAATCGATCCCTCGCATCAGATTTGATCGCCACACCCTCAAGCTCTATAGCAGATTAGTTGTTCTGAGAGACTTGGTTGCCGGCATCCATGCCTGCTTGTGCGAGCGTGTGAGTCGAAACCTTTACACATTAACCCTAAACCCCAAAGCTCTGTTGTACTAAACGCTAACAGACACCCTACGAATAACCTTGTAGAGACATGCATAAAGCGCTGTAATTACTCCACAAGAAACTGAAGCGAAAAGGATTCAGCCTTTGAATGTCACGACGACTTCGTATCTGGGCTTCCGGAGTGCGGTACTTCATAAGAAGCCACACTGCTTGAGAAGAGTGTCCAGGAGAAAGAAAAGGCGCCGGGAGTACAGCTCCTTTGGCCGGAGGTCTCGCAGCTTTGGCTGGGATGCTGGCCGCTTGTTTGAAAGTGCTGGGTTGCGCAGTTCTAAAACGGCGCGTAAGCCCGCAAAATGGCATTACAAGCTTTGGCAGCTATTCTTGCCCTGCCGTGCCTCGGACCCGAACTCTAAACTCTAAGCAACCATGAACCCCCCCGGATCAGATCTTACAGTCTACCGAATTTCTGCGCGTTAAATCTCAACGAAAGTATTGCCCTGAAGCCCGAAGCCGCAGACGCTGCGAGCCCTAAAACCCTAAACACCCCTAGCAATCACAGGGCCCTGAAATACTATTCCTTAGCTTAGGCCTCCTTATGATGTTTAAAGAAGAAAATGGTCGTCTAAATCCGATTCATTAAGGCCCTAAAACCCATGAATTCAAGTTCAACTCCTGAGAATTGATTCTGTTTTTCAGGACATGGCTGTTTGGGGGTCGAGTTTGGGAATTAGGAGCCGAGGGTTCAATCCTTAAGGCGTGATTTGAGTTAGACTTAGGGTTTGGGGTTTGGCTCAGGATGATTCACGACTAGGCAAAGCGGTTTTGAGTAGACCATGCGATTGCACGATGGATAAACACGTCAAGGTTCGTTGCGAGCGCCTGATGGATCCACTAATTGTGGGTGTCCTGCTTGCCCCACTTGCCTCACTTGCATTGCTTCTCCAGGAAAAAGCATCCATCTTGCACCACTTGTACAAGATCAGTGCGATGCACAACAGAAGAAGCAGTACCTGGGCCCCCACACACCAAAGCACCTTCAAACACTCTAAGCGAACTTCATGCCGCAATCATAGCCCTATAATCATAACCCAAGACTTGTCTTTCCCATGGTCCTTTAACCCTAAACCCTTAAAGCTGAAAGACCGATCAATCAGCCTTCGTCTGGAATTGTGACAGAGGAGTGGACTTTGGGTTTCGGGTCTCCCGCACTCTTGGGTTTAGGGTTTTGGGTTTAGGGTTTAGGGTCTAGCAACACCCTAAAACCCTAAACCTAAACCCTAAACCCATACTAAACAAGGGCTTGTGAGGGTTGCCTTTTGTTTTTTGGAGGCGGGAGGGTTTCCCGAAACGGACAAGCCTCGATGCCCAGGCCTTAGATTGTGGCTCCTTCTTGCTTCGGTTTAGGATTTAGGGGTTTAGGGCTTAGGGTTAACTCTCCCTCGGCATTTCTGAACCTGGGGAGCTTTTCTGCCTTCCTGAGAAGTAAGAAGCCAAGGCTGCCAGGAATGCCGAAGTACTTGTCACCCAGCGTCAGCACTTATCTGCACTGTGCCAAGGGCCTTCTGTCCCTCGGCGTGAAGATACTAGAAGAGGTTTTGTTGCATCACGGTTGTTGGTAGTACGGGTTGTATATGTACATAGGAGTACATACAATAATCAGTACTTCAAGTGAGCCCAGAAGTTAAGTACTGTGTTAGGAGACACAGCTAAGAGCCCTACTTATCCTACAATCGTCAAATACGAGTTGTAGGGTTCAGGGTTTCAAAGTGCTAGTGCTAAGCTGTGGACACCACGCTTTGGCGACCAAACACATTCGTCCTTTGCATATGTGATGGCAGAGAGGAATTAAACAGATGGGTGGCTTCATCAGAGGATTGCGTTAAAACGGATTTGGGCAATGAAACACCCTATTGAATACACTGCCTTGCCTCTTTAAAGGTCCTTAGACTGCCATAGAGCCAGAATCCCGTATAACTGTGACTAAAGAAGAAGTGTTTGTACGTCAGGGACCTAACAAGTATTAGATGGTGCTTACAATTACCTGATTTGACATGTAAATAACCACAACGATATCAGGGTTCAGGATTAGTATCCCACATACAACCATACCAGGTGCCAAGTTCTTGCCCCAGCGGTGTTTATAAACCCGCAAGCCCTCGTCTGGCTATGTGGACTGTGCTAAATGAAGCAAGTGCACCGTACTAAGGACCGGTAGAAAAACCGGAGCCCTTGTCGAAAAAAGAGCTCCTCAAGCCCAGAAGACTTAACCTTATTTTTTGAACCGTTGAGCCTACCGGACCCCAAGACCCAAAACTCTAAACCAAGCGCTAAACCCCAAAACCTAACTCCTAGCTACCACCGAGGTGTCGTATGACATGGGGAGCTGGCCAGGACAATGGTACTGCCGCTCGCCATTATGAGCTCTTGAAGAACTAGAACACGATTTCATAAAGGGGTCTGACAGGGGCATGATAAGCGTTGCAAAAGTGTGTGGCAGAGGTCTGTTGTTTTGGGATTCCTTACGGGGAGGGTTCCTGAGGGGCATTAAGCACTGAACTTCAGGCTCTATCTGAAGCCTAGATTGATCCCGAAACCCTAGGGCCCTAGGACCCTCAACTCGCAACTCTTCGATGCCCGCCGAGGCTATGCCCACCACCTCCGTCAGCGCCGCCCCGGGTGCCGCTGTGGACGAGGAGGTGACGCTGAAACCCCCGTCATCAGCGGGAGAATTCGCTCTGAAAATTTACCTATAACCGCAAGTCGTAAAGCCTTGAAGCTCTAAAACCCTGTCCACGAAAATGATCCCCAAGAAACCAGACCCCAAACCCTTATGAAGCCCTAGGAGAAATGCAACCAAACGGTGTGGGGCTCAAGGGTTTACGGTTGAAGTGGTTCCGAGAGAGTGCCGCTTTGCGTCCCTCGAGTCTATGGCGAAGCCTTCAAATGAAACAGTCTGTGCCATGCTAGTTGGGCCCGAATTCCCGGCTGCACAGGGTGCTAGATTTTGCTGGAACCGTAGGGTAGTTTCCAAACACAACTGATAGTCGGCCCCTTTCCTTCCAACTTTTCAGCGCCCCAACTTTAAGATACGTCTGAATAACTAGCAATCCAATTCCGCAGGGTGCCCTATTATGAGTAGTCTGCAATGGACGCCGAAAGGCCTTTTTCCAGTTATTGAGGCCTCTTTACTAAACACTAATTCAGCAATGCAGGTGGCAAGCAAGCTTTAAAACCGTAAAACCCTCAATCCTAAGTCAAAAGCCGCCCGACAGGAGCAGCAAAAGCCCGGGAAGGTGGCGGCAGAGCTACTGCAGGCATTGAAGCGACGTCCTCAGATCGATGTGGGTTTGGGCTGTATAGGGTCGGGGTTTAGGGTTTAAGGCTTAGGGGTTTAGGGCTTAGGGTTTAGGGTTTTAGGGTTCGGGGTTTAGGGTTTAAGGTGTACGGCTCAAGGTTCGGAGTTTATAGTTTATGATGTTGTGGTTTCTGAAAGTTGGGTTGCATGTTTCTACACACCACACACTTCAACGTAAACGGTCCAGAAATTTGGAACCCCCGAAACGGCATCCTTCTATTATAGATAGCTCAGCATGGGCTTCTTCTAGGTTTTCTACGTTCCTAGATCTTTCACCGTAATGGATCATTGAAAGGGGTTGCGAATTTGCTCTTGAACGTCCTTCTGACATTAGCACAGACTCAAATGAAGTGCTTGACCGACGTCTGTGAGCCATGCTGCCAGCAGGGACTGGCGGCTGGATGCTGACGTGCACCGTGCCAGAATAGCTTGTTTTTCAGAGCTAAAGTTAAAGTGCCTGCTCAGCCACCCTCTAGCCAGGCTGGACCAGTTCAACATCTGTCCAGGGCAAAGGTTCATGGCACCGCACTTCCATTTATATACGTCTCCAAGAGTTAGGCCGTCCGTACATCCACCAGTCGGATGGCCGCTGCGGGCGTCCTCCCAGCAGAAGAAATAGTCAATCAGCTGCGGAGGCGCAGCCCGAAGTCGCGCGAAGCCTTCCTACTGTACCCGTTCATGGCTCAGGCAGTGGCCACATTTCATTTATTATTGTTATTACTATTATTACTAGTCTTTACTATCATTACTATCATTATGGGGATAATACGAATAACAATTATGATTGTTGTTATTACAAGAGTCTTGGGAGACTTCGAAGTCATCATGACCAATCCGTGGCACACTGAAGAGAGCCAGGGAGAGTGGGCACGGAAAACTCAATGACCTCTTCCCGGCAGACCCTTCAGCTGACCATCGTGTTTCGGGTTGTTTGGGCTTCAGGGGTTTATGGTTTGGGCTGCAGGGGTTTATGGTAACAGGCTTTCGCGGTCTAGCCTTACTGATATGGGCTAGGCCCGAAACTCTCTAAACCCCTGAATCTGAAAGAGTCGCTATGTAAAGGAAAGACAGAGCCAAAAACATTCAAGTAACAAGCTCCCTGAAGACATGCCCATAGATTGCAACAAGACACTACCACCAGGTCGACTGAATCCAAAATCAACTGCACAAAAAACCCTACACAGCCCTGTAAAGGTCCCATACAAGCCTATAAGCAAGCCATAAAAGCCCTTCAGCACCTTGTAACACCCATAATAAGGTTGTGTTCTGATCGTGCTTCCTAGGATTTTTGCAGGGTGTTATGGAGTCTTCGCAGGTTTCTGTTATAGGGTATATATAGGTGTTTTAATCGGTTGGTACTGGGTTGCAGAGAGCCGTGGGTTCTGACTTCATGGGATCGGTTTAATAAGGGCCATAGATACGTTCGTTGGGGTTCGTGTGAGCAGAAGCCATGGTGGCCTTACTTGCAACTACCCATATGAGCCGTAGAAAGCCTATACCCCAACCCTCCGAACCACAGAACCCTAGGCCCACCGTAGCACACCGCAAAAGGGCTAGTCCAAATCCACAATCCCAGAGTTCGTAGCCATACAGTCCCTGTACACTATCTATCTCTGTATATATATATAGAGATATATAGAGTCTACAACTGTACGAAATTATACTACCAGAACCCTTATTCAAGCCTCTGTTGCCATACTCCCTAATTGTCCCTCTGCAGCTCTACAATATTCTACTACCACAACCCCTATTCAAGTCTCTATGTTCACCAAACCCAAAAGGTGTTTAGGGTCCTAAACCCTAAACCCCCTAAACCCCTAAACCCCTAAACCCCAAACCCTAAACCCTAAACCCTAAACCCTGAACCGAAACCTTAAGCCCTGAAACCCTAAACCCCCAGGCTTATTGGGCCGGACAAAGGCGCCCTAGCCAGTGCTCAGCTGCTTGCTCTTCGCTTGACCGCCGAGGGCAAGGCGGGTCTCCTCCGTAAATGGCGAGTTCTCTAAATTAGGGTTTAGGGTTTAGGGCTGGTCCAAAAAATAGTTCTCTAAATTAGGGTTTAGGGTTTAGGGCTGGTCCAAAAAATAGTACGGCACCCCCCATAAAAAAAATGGCACGCCCTGGCGATGCGATGCCTCGGCGTACCAGTCTCTAAAAGCAGGATCCTGATGTGATAATCGTACTATGGGGGGTAGGAGCTTTGATCCCTAACCTTCTGGGACTCCTAGATAGATAGAGAAACCCTAAACCCTGAACTTAAGGGTTCGGGGACACAGAGAGTCAATAAACAAAGCTTATTGGTACGTAGCATCAGGAGCAGGAGTCGCTGCTCTAACAGCGATTGCCATGGCCCCAAGGAGTCTCCAATGATGACGATAGGAAGACACAGGCACAATCCAACGGTTTAGGGTTTAGGGTTTTAGGGTTTAGGGTTTACCCTAAACCCTAAACCCTGAATCCATGAGGATGACGGTTCTGATCGAAATATGGATGGACAATGATGAACATAACTTGGTTCATGCTGACTCCAATGTTCCTGACCGGCATCACCAGTCAGATAGGTGTAGGGTAGTTTCAATGTCCATTTCCTCGAACTCGAGAGTGAAGGCAGACATCAACTCGGCTGAGCCCCCGCGCAGGTGGGTCTAAGCCCAGCGAATGTGATTGCTCTGAATCTGTTCCTCTCAGATGCCACCTTCCACAGCAACTTGCTGCCGGTTTAGGGGGTCGGGGTTTAGGAATTACTAAATCCGTGTTGGCTACAACTTTACATGTTTGTTATAGTAAAGCCCAATAAGGATTAAACCCCTAAACCCTAAGCCCCAATTAGGATGAAACATGATCAGTTTGAATATAGCCCCAACAGGGAACCAGTGCAGGTTTCCAGTTCCCAAAACTGAACCACTAGCAAGCCCCACGGAAAAGAGCTCGCAAAACCCAGCCTAGCAAGTTTAGAAGAGTCAGGCCCGTTCTGGGAGTAGGGAAAGTTTGTGCTGATCAATGTTATTCAGACTTTTCGATCCAGTTTATGGTAACTTCTCAGTTTGCCACAGTATTGCCCCGTCACAATAGAGTTCCTAGGTCCTACTCGATTGTACGTTTTTCAATTTCAGGGATTTTCACAAAATGTTCTTACTTGTGGGGGCTCTATAATTATACCAGTTATACATTCTGTCAAAGATTGCGGCACGTCCTCTGAGGTGAGGTCAACACGGCCATGGTGTCGCAGTTTTCGCAGCAGCCCCTACCAGCAGTGCGCGAGCGTGCTGCCGATATTTACGCGGCGCATGCAGCCCGACTCAGTTTTTGGAACTCGGGTGTTGTCCGGTCGTGGGTGTGGGGTGGACGAAGAAGTTGCATAGAAGCTCTTCGAGGCAACACGAGATTTGTTGTGAATATATTTATGGGGGTTTCCGAAAATAGGGGACCCTAATATAGTACCCTAAATAGTAGGATCCGTATTATAAGGACCCCAAAATAAGGCACCCTTAAGTTCGGAAAGTTCCTTATACCGCAGAAACAATCCTTGAGACTCCTGCGTTGAGGAAAGATCATGAACCCCAAAACAGGTCTTAGCGGCTTAGGATGCCCCAGACCCTAAACTTTAGACCCCTGAACCCTCAAACCCCTAAACCCCTAAACCCCTAAACGCCTAAACCCCAAACCCGGAGCAGTGCGATCAAGAGGGTCCGAAGTCCAACCCTGGAGGTTTCGGGTTTACTATAGGGGCCTTATTAATAATTACCTACACTATTTTGGATGCAATTATAGTATAGTCTAGTATATTTCAATACCCTTTTCCTAACTATTAAGGCCTTTACAGTACCCCGAGCATGGTTTGTTGGCTTGAGGGGAATATTTATACCATAGTAAGACTGACTGGATCTTAGTAGGGAATGGAGGAATGGGTTTTTGGGACTACTTTAGGGGACCTCAAGGGACTATCATAGGGATCCATTCCCCCATTCCCTACTAAGAACCAAGATATTAAGGGGGTATGACGCTTTTGGGCTATTCTGAGCCTTGGGGTTAAACCTCGAAGTCTCTTCCGAAGTCTCCACCGACACAGGCTCAGGTTTCACAGGAGACCTCGACGTGCGACTCAGGACTTTGCGGGTAAGGCTCCCGAAAGACCACCCGGACCCTACAAACACAACCGAGGCGAAAGCCAGATGCGTCCCGCCGCTGTACGGCATAGTATAGTATGCCCCGCTGAAACCCAAGTCGAAAAACATGCAAAACCTAAACCCTAAAGCCGAAGGCCCTAAACCCTGGGCCCTAAACCTCAACCACTGCCGAACACAAATACAAAGCCTAAATCCTAAACCCAAAACCCCAAAGCCCCAAACTGTAAACTCCAGCCGAAAACGCCAAACCCCAAAAGCCGAAAGCCCTAAAACCGTACTCCCCAGACCCAAACCCCAACCGAAAAAAGAAAGCCGCATTTCCCGGAGGCCCAGCTCTCTGATGCCATCCAAGCGCTACCTGCACGGAAGGCGCGTTCGAAGGGTTCCGTGTTGGAGTGTTTCATAGGGCTTTGCCCTAAACCCTAAACCGTGGTTTAGGGTTTAGGGTTTGCTACAGGGTGTTATATATTAAAAAGGGGACTCTGATGAGGTTCTTTTAAGCGTGCCTTTAAGGGCTCATGTTTGGTTTAGGGCTTGGGTTCTATGGTTGAGGGTTTAAGGCTCTCCCCAAAGAATACACATAAAACTGAAGGCGAACCCGGAGCCAGCAAAGTGCATTTCAGATGGCAGAATTAGAATTTAAAGCGGACATGTAATTATCATAGAGCAGCAGCATGCTTATCATAAGTATTCCTAACAACTGTAAGCACCCACATGTGTCGAAGAGGCTCAGAACTAGCTGCAGCTCTTAATCAGGCGGTAGGAGGGTTAACAACACCCTTTACGGTTTCCGCTCCAATGTACGTTCAACAGTCTTTGTAAGGGGAATTACTAAGCCGAAACCCACAGCTTGAACAATACCTTTTGACGGACGGGGTTTAGACTGAGGTCGTTTGCTTCCGCTCCATTCGTTTCGCGGGCGGGATGCGTGACTTCTTGCGTGGCCACAGACTCGGCATGGACTGTGACCCGGCAATGCTATCAGTTCCACAAATGAGGTAAATATGCAAAACCGCAGCACATGGCAGCGCATTCAACACCGCCAATGAAACGATCATTGTTCGCAATGCAACAAGCAGAGCAAGAATACCACGCAATGATGCGCAATGCCTATTCTCTGTTGTCAGATTGTAAACTAGAGGAGGCAAACACACACGCGCGCACACAGGCACACACACACACAAGATACAGCCGAAGGAGATTGAAGAGCTTGCCGTTCGGTCTATCTTTGTAGACGCATGTCCTTCTGCTAAGGGCCCAAAAAAAAAGACCTAAGTTCACCAACCCGGGTGGATGCTGCAGGGCTGACAGTGTAGAATCAGCTTTTGCTCGCCGCAGTCGTCAGCTGAGGCTATCGGCCGGGCAGCATCGTTATGTGGAGGCAGCGGGTTTTTCAAGACGTTTCGAATCGCCCCCCAACGGAAACACAAATTCAAAACCCTAACCTCCAAACCTATCGTGACGACGGATTTGAAGGTATGGTGCTGGTTGCCGTTGCTTCGGATCTGGGAGTTGTTCTAAGCTAAGGTTCCACTTCACCGTACTACTTAAGCTACCCAGAGACTCCAATATTCCTNNCCCCCCCCCCCCCGCCCCCCCAAACAGAAACCCAGAATCATAACCCTATACCCTCCGAACCTTGAGGATGCTCCTGATGCGTCTTGCTTGGCTTAGAGCTCTGAGCCCTGAAGATCCCCGAAAACCGCAACGAGCACCTGTAGACCCCCGCCTGGGCGCTCTCCAGTGTGAAGCCAAGTACTTTCCTCGCGAACGGTTTAACGGAGTAAGACTTTAGGAACTAAAGGAGGTTATAGGGTTTAGGGTTGTTTTTGGCTTGAGCGTTTGAGGTCTTAACCCTCCTAGAAGATTGCTTGCAGCTTTTTGGGGCATCTTCTTGCCCGACGAATGTTTGCCGATGTTGCAAACTTGTGGAACATCGCCGAGCCCTTCTACTCAGCACCATCGAACTATTGGGACTTAGCTATCATTAGTGATTAGTGGTTCCTAAACCCCAACGAAGTGTCAAGTAATGTACAAGTCTCCCGCCCAAACCGGCACAAGTTGCAGTATGGCCCTCTTGTCACGCTAAGACCCAGACCCAGCCCCAACTCGGGCCCCGTGCTCTCATGACGCATTTGCGTTACCCTCGACCTGCAGCATCCTTTTCTCATGTACAGCCAGGCGGTCCTTAAGCGTTTTATTTGCATTGTGGATCCAAGTAGTGGTGCCTTGCTTAGGGTATAGGATTATGCCAGGAGTTGTAGACTTCGAGGTTCGACAAAGTGAGTTTAGGGTTTCGGGGGTTTAGGGNNNGGTTTAGGGTTTAGGGCCAAGGCGCAAGAGACTCAAGTGGCTAGGGGTTTGGTTCAGAGGGGCGTGCAGAGCAAAGCAGAGGTGGAGTTACGCTTTCACTTCAAGGTGCTCGTATGTGTTCTGGGTAGTTGTAGAGGTGCCTGCGATTCGAATCGTAACGATCGCTGAATGTAGAACTTCAATCGAACATCAGTAAGAAGAAGCAGGGCATCATCACCGATAAAATTCGGAAGCAGTGGCAACAGCAGCTACAACAACAACGAACGCCGTGATTTTCGGATAACAACACTATCAAAAAAGTAGCAAGAGCAACAAGCATCGTCATAACCACATGTTTCTGACTATAGAGTACAAGCGCACACACACACACAGAGAC